AGCTCCACGATATGATTTCCAACACATGAGGTGGAATCATTGCAAGATGTTGAAAGAGAAAACAACAGGACAATCATGCGCGGCCATGTCAGAATCAGTATGAATTCTGTCAACATTTTTTTTGTAGTCGCGACTTTTTCCAACAGGTTGTCCCTAAAAGAAGAGAAAGTATAAAATTACAAAATAATCCATCGAAGCATTGCAAGAATGTGAAGGGGAAATAGCTTAACAGTTTCATCCGATTTTAATATTAAGGGAGTATATTTCTACCTTCTCTATAGCTTCTTCATCCTTCCTCGATACAGAAGATGTCTCTCTAGCTCTCAACAGATCACCGGTGGCGGTGACCAAATGGCACAAACAGTACTCATCCTTCATGAAGCTCGACTGAGTACCTTTCCCAGAATCAGTTGGTCCTGAACGAATCGAATTCTTATTATTATGACCATGATAGCAACTATGTTCTGTGATTAAGATGCTATTTAATTGTTCAAACTACTAATCTACACTTTCAGAACCAAATTTAATTTTTAATTATATATATATTAATTAGTAGATACTCTAATTTTATATTTATTAGAGATAGCTCATTAATTGAATATAGTTTGTTAATCGATTTTGGGTCATTAGAGACAGATAGCTCATTAGTTGCTTGCACTCTAATTTTCTATTCCGTTGAATCATTTCTCTTTCACTCATTTTCAATTTACACAACGTTGCGGCTTGCTGGTAATCCATTTCATCAAGTTAGTGGAGTGTCATTTAAGATCGAAAAATGAAATTTGTCAGTTACTTAAAAATTCTTTGAACTATTTTTTTACCTTGATTGTTTGATGAATTATTTGTGTTCTTCATAAATAGAGAAAAATCTAATAAACATTCATGAAGTATTAAAACGGTTAATGCTGCCTATAAAAGTGGACTGTAAAAATTTTGATAATTCATTCTTTATTGTAGGGATGCGCCTTCAAAACTGCTGCAATTAATTTAGTGAATCACTGCTATTACTTATTAAACAATTTGTTATATGAGAACGAAAACTAATTTGTGTATTCAAATTATGAATATGTTTTGTTTGTTAGTTATGATTTTTTTTTGATCTCGATGATTGAAATTTGAACTTCCTGAATGTTTGATGTTTATTTTTTTTTTATTTAGGTATATATTATTAACTTATCTGATGTAAATATGAAAATTTAAGAAATGAAATTAGAACCAAACCAAATCAGAATCGAACGGTTCGATTCGGTTTGGTTCTATATCTGTAAAAAAAATCATTTGGTTCCATTATCAGAAAGACCATTGGTTCATGGTTCAGTTCAGTTCTCTTGGAACCAAAACCAAAAAGAATTATGTCTGCCCCTAGTGTATATCAACAAGGGTAACATCTTCTTTCTGACAAAATAACATAATTTTTCTCTACCAGGTAGTAATCACAATTTCGATTTTCGAATTTGATTTTGTGCTGGGCTGTATTTAAAACGGTTGATGCAAAAACAAAAACAAAAAAAAAAAGCATAAAAGAAAAGAAAAAAAAAGAACCCTTCTCAGCCTAAATTTAAAAATCAACAAAATAAATATAAGGTTTTCAAATCTAAATGAATAATCTTGGTGGAAAGATCGAATCTTTACGCGAAAATGGCCTAAATGGTAACATAAATACATGACTAACACCTCCTATGCCATTGAATCTTCGATCTACCACTGTTAACTTGAAAAAATATGGCGCCTAGTTCGTAATAAAGTCAAGAAAGTTGAGTATCCATATCAATTAAATTTCAGCAAGCTCAAAATAATAATCTTGGTGTAAAGATCAAATTTTAAACAAAAAGGTAGAACTCTAGGCAAAACTTAAAGCTGCAACCTGCAAGAACAAGCTTCTTGAGTATATAAAAAAAAAAACCGACAAGTACCACATTTATGCACCAAAAATCGCATTAATAAAAAATACATACAACACAGTTACAAAAGTTTGATGCGAATGAGAATAAGGCTTTTGTCAGTCTTAAAAGAGCACTTCATGCAACGGAGAAGTTCAATCATGATATCAACAGATGGTATGTCTCAGGCGCGGACCCAGCACAAAAGTTCAGCTCGAACGGACGTTGACCATTGACCGTTGACAATTAACGATCGTAAGAGCAAGGTTATTTATTAATGTTTAATTAAATAATATTAAAAATTTTTCGATTAATATATAAATACACTAAACGTATGAATGATATAATATGAAAATATAATCCAATACAATACAACCCAGAATAAAAAAGAAAAATAAGTAATA